TAACTTGTCACTGGATGTTAAAAAAAGTTAAAAATACTATAAAAAATACTATTAAAAATACTAGAAGATAGGCAAATGGCTAGCAGTCAATAGAAAAGATCTGAGTCATTTCTCTTTTATTTTTTCCTGGGGGGAAAAGAAAAGGAAAATAAATTGTCAGAGTTGTGTTTTCAGTCACCTGTACAGAGCACTGTCTATTACCTCAACTGGTATTCTTGAGAAGATGGCAAGTATGTACTACAAGAAGTCCATTCTCAGAAGGGAATAGGGAATAGGAAAATAGCCTCCATTTTCAAGTCAAATTACAGCTTGTTAGTGAAAAGCGATAGATGTGTAAGTGAAAGAACATAACATTATAGGAAAGAAAGAAAATGGGGGCAAACCCATGCTCTCTATTTGTCATCCACTTTATGAAATCTTGATCTCTCAGGCAGGTAAAGTGACTCCTCACCGTTTCATGGGTTTATTTTTAGGGCTTATTTCATCAGCTACAGGTTGGCTTTTGACATCATTAAAGAGGAGAGCAAAGGCTAAAACTAAACATAAAGTTTTTCACTTTTATACTTATATCTCTGCCACTGGGGACTATTCTACATAAAAGTTGCCATCTTACCTGAGATTTTTCTATGCTTAGTAGCAAATACCTTATATTGCATTTTTCTTCTCCACTTAGAGCCCCATAAGAATTACTTTTAAACTGTATTTTATACTTTACCGACCTCACTCGTTCATCATTAACCTTTTGCAGAACACTGCAAGCCCAATTGCTTGCTTCACTTTTCAATGGTAAGGAAATCATCAACCTTCCCAGACAAATGGAAGACTAAGGGATGCAATAACTAGAGACAACAACCCAGATCTCCTCATCCATCTTCAGCGCTGCAACTATTATGTTATAGTCAACAGTGGTTGTTGTTAAGAGACTGCCAAATTTATCATAGTTTTGTCTTCTGTGCTCCTCCGTTATTACTTTCCACTGTCTCAATAAAGGAGCAGAAGCCCTTAAGGTACAACTGCCTCCGAGCCAACCAGCCAGGGTGATGGAGGAATAACGTGACCTACACGTTTTGGCCCTCACAAACATGTACTCAGCAGACTGAGCTCATGAATTCCACTTTCCTTGGCTCAAAGCCTGGAAACTTGAGTCTTTACGAAGTGCCAGGCCTCCCACTGAGGGCAAAATTAACCTCAGTCTACAGGTCAGAGCAGTCTGATTTCCTTGTATTTTGTAAAATACAGCTTTAAGGATACCAGGTTAACGAAATTTTCTGGGTAGAGGCACCTGAGACCATTTGGCCGGTATTTTAGTTCTGAAAGTTTGTTTAGTTTGCTGGTTTTTGGTTATTTTTTTAAGCAACTCTAATGGGGATTATGCAATGTAGCAACGGTCCTTCTTTCACTTATCGCTGCAATCTCCTTCCTAACCACAGATAACCTCTAATTTAATATTTAACAGTAGTTTAGAATTAGCAAATTCATTTAAATGCTCCTCATGACAAAGGAAACAGTTGCAGGATTAATAATGCAGTGGTCCTAAGGATTTGTAAAACTCTCAGCTTCAATTTACCCCTGCCTTGAGTGCTAAAATTCCAGTTTAACATAATCATCAGTGGAATCAATACCTTTGAATTTATATGGATCACTAGCATGTTTCATCTGTCTTTTGGGACCCAGTCTCCTGGAGATTAGCAAAAGGCCATGTTTGCACCATCCCTTCCCTAAAAAGCCCCGACCTTTCTGTTCCTCTATGCTACATCTTTCCTGTGTCTGTCCTTATTCATGTGCATTTAGCACCCACTTCTAACCACTTCTTACTATTTTCCACAAAACTATCTAGTCAACTGTCAGCAATCAGGAGCACTATTACAACTTAACTATGCTAAATGAATACCAATTAGTTAATATTTAGTAAAGAAGCAAGCTAGTACTGAAGAGAAAAACACCTGCTCTATGTCCTTTAAACTTTTACAAGCTAAAAGTGAAGAAAGCTGGCATAATCACTTCCATAACAGAAAAAAGTATTGATTCAAACTTCTTAAAAGGTAAACAGTGCAAACCTCTGCTCCTGCGTTGTCATTTCAATTTTTCTTTACTAATTGCTTTAGAAACAGAGTTCACATTGTGTAGTGAGGCAGAGAAAAACATACATAGAAGTTACACAGAGATTGTCTAACGTGTTTGTATCCTGAGCCAAAAAGGACAAAATGTATACTGGACTTTTGAGAATGAGCTTAAATGGAAAATAACGGCTTTCCCGCTTGCCCAATTTTAAAACAGCTACAACAAAAAACACACAATTTTTCTTCCTTTAAAAAAGCTATCTTCCACAAGCAAACTTCATTCTGTATATATAGACCAACCTACCCCTACCTCCAAACCAGCAACACACATTTTACATGCTTGTCTGACCATGACACAGGTAAACTATACTGAGAAAATTTAACACCGATTTGCACAGGTTACCTAACACATAGGAAATGTTAAAATATGGTCAACTGAAAACACCAGCTGCAACTTGGATTTCAAGAAAACCAAAATAACTCAAACATACTTGCACAGAACAAGGAGGTCACTTCAATGTCAAAATCATTAATCTACACTGTTCTGAAAAAGAATTCACAAGAAGGAAATGAAGACTGAGACCATCTGACCCTCTAAACTGTGAACAAAGACTGCCCAGAACTTTATCAGTTTGCTGCTCAAGACCTACTCAAATGCAGCAGTATAAAATGAGCAGAGCAGCAAAAAAACCTCCCAAGATATTCTGTCACTTCCACCACTCCTGTCCACAGGCTTGCTGGCATCAATAAAATGCGGAAGTCAAACAAAGCTCACGCACATACTTTGAAAAGCCAATAGAAGTCAGAGGTTTCTATCTGGAAGGAAAGATGTGCACCAGCTCGTTATTGCATCAGCAATAACACGAGTGGGCTGGAGAGGAAAACAAAAAAAAAAAAGGAGAAAGACTGACTTTGTAAGGGCTGACCATGGCCTCGTCGCATTCACTTACTGCAGACTCCAATTGCCACGCTTAGATCACCACATATTTGGCTTTCATTTGAGCCTCCAAGATTCACATTTGTCCAAATAGATGGGAGATACTCAAGGCAAGTTAGAAGAGTACAGTATACATGAGGACTGACTTTGCTGGGGAAGAAAGCAAGAAAAAACAATCAAGTGTGTAGAGGACAGAACGAGGGAAAAAAGCAAACACTGAAAAAATAACAGCAGAAAGTATGCTGAGATACAATATTGAAGAAACTACATGAAATGAAGTAAAAAGTGAGAAAGATCTATTAACATCTACTGTCTTCTTTTTTTTAAATAAGCTTTCTTTGAAGGAAGGTGTGACTTGTATCTCTGCACAGCCCCTGGCACAACGACATGCAACTTACTTGCTGAGTTCCAGAGTATACTACAGAAACAGCAAATGGCAGCGAGACACTGATGCGGCAAGCCAGCCCATCCAGCAGGTTTTAAGAAATACACAGTCTGTTCAGGAACAGTGATTAACATAATGCTCCTAGGCCCCTCCAGATAGCAACTAAGGAGAGGAGAAATTTTCCTCTACGTAGATCAATGAAGTGGTGGTGCTGGGCAGTAACGTGCAGTTTGGACAAAAGCAGCAGTCAGATGAGTACTACAATAAAAATCTGTAATAAAAACCAGTTGACCATATCATAGACCAAACCAGTGTGTTCTTGAGAACACAACCGCTACTAATTACAAACAGTACTGTAATTTGGTGCGAATACAGTCTTAAGTTCACCTGAACAGGTATCATGTCCCCTATTCATATCCTGACCAGCCATTACATTTATAATATAAAGGTGAATGACAGACATCTTAAATCATTAGTCTAGTGAATAATACCTAAGTGCAGAGTACTGGAGATATTCCTGGTATGTTAGTGAAATTCATCAAGCAGCTACCTGGGGCATCTCTGATCTCCTATATGGAGATGAAACACTTCACATGCCACAGATAAATATACCAAACACAACTCAAGTAAGTTTTAAAACCTAAAAAGAAAAAAAAAGTGTTTCTCCTCAGTACATCCACTCTGCAATACAACCTTACTGGTTACCCCAAATTATTACATTTGTAGTACTGAAAACACTAGAGAACATTACTTACAGATTCATATGGACCACTGCCCATATTCTACATGTCTACCAAAAACTGGACAGGTACCATGCGCACACATACACACCTAACTCCAAACCTCTGCTGTACTGGCCCACACATAGTAAAAAAATTCAACATAATAGCCATAAATGTTTTTGGAATACTATCACATACGTTTATGCCACAGTCAGAAAGATTTTGTAATACTTGGCGTGGACCTCAGCCAATGTTTTTGCTTTTCTACTCTCAAACACACATTGGTGCCCTTGGCAACATTTTTTTGGAAATATTACAGGACTGTTACGAATGTTCCATATTTAGGCTACTTGAGTATTTATATAATCTTCTTTACATTACAGAAAAACTCCAAAAAAGAAGGGGAAACAAAAAGCAGAAGGAAAAATCACCAAGTCAAATAAACCAGGAGAGATAGTTTAAAAATGAGGAAGCCTCACTTGCAGAAGTAAGAACACTGAACTAGCGAGATATAAAAAGGACAAACATTCAAGCCTTTATTTAGCCCACAATATGGATGAAAATAAGCTCTTAACGCTTTTTTGGTTATTTAAAAGTAGATCTACAATACTGAATGCATTACTAAATGCCATGGCCTTAACCTCTCCTAACATTTAAACAGATAGACAGGAGACTTCCAGAAAGCTTTCTTTAAAGCTGTATTTTATTGCAGTCAATGACTCATTTATTTAAGGTAGCAGCTACTAGAGTTTTGCACAAAGTCAAGTCAGGGACACTCCAGCCACCCTTAGAAATGACAGTCATTTGTCCTACAGTCTGCAGAACAGAGTCAAGGTAGTTCCTCACACACACATATGCACAAACACTACCATTTAATACTAAATTATAAAACTTACTTTTGTCCATCTGCAGATCGTTTCCGGCTTCCTTGCAGATCCTGTGAGATATCTTTCCCAATATTATTTAAGGTGGCTTCATCTTTATTTACAGAATCCTCTTTCCTTCTACTAGTAGAAGAGATAGGCTCTTCAGCTCTTGAACACTTTGGCTGTTTGTCCTCTGGAAGGGTATTTGTGTTCTGTAAATCCTTTTCACATCTGTTGGGTTCATCTTGGAAGATAGAGGGTTTAGATTCTACTAAAGAAGATTTTGTTGCAATATTAAATAAGCTTCCAAGAAAATGAAAAAATCCTTCTCGGGGTTGTTTGTCTTTATCTGCTGTTTTCGTTCCAGGAGTCAAACTAGGAAGGCTATTAGCCTTTTTCAGCTCCTCCTGGATTTCAGACTTGCTAAGCTCTTCCACAGAATGGTTCCTCTCTTCATTTTGACAAACCTAAGATAAATACAAGAAGGACATAAAAAAAGATGTTTCCTGTCATTTTCCCACATTCCCAAATTCCTTAATTTTAATTTATGTATTGTATTCCTTTCAGGAGACCTGCCATTTAAAGATTCATTTTAAGATCAAAACCCTGTTCTGCCTTCTCTTTTTGTACTAAAAAGGTTCCTATTCTACAAAAAGCCAGAAGGACTACATAAGCTACAGGATTCATAAAGCAGCTGCTGTGAAAGTAAAGCACAGAAGGACAGATGGAGAACAATTGCTTCAACTGGCAAAAAAATCCCTGAGGAAGAAGCAAGGAACAATTTTTCACACTTCAGTCTAATCCACACAAAAAGCACAGCTTCACAAACAAATCTATATGGGCTCAAAAGACAAATAGGTTTTAGCTTGCAAACATACATAAGAATACCATACCAAAACACAAATATACCATAGCCTTAAACACAGGGTAACCTACACTTATAAAAGAAAACAGGAGGATCAAGAACAGAATTTGGATAAAATCACAGAATCATAGAATGGCCTAGGCTGGAAGGGACCTTAGAGATCATTTTAATCCAGGCTCCCTGCCACCAGGGACACCACCTCTCGACTAGATCAAAATGACCTCAACTCACGGGCCAGAGAATAATCCTACCTGCTATCCATGCAAGCCCACGTTGCACCCTTCAGCCAGCTTTCCTTCAACTCCACAGGCAATTAACTGCAGAGGTCTACTTCCAAATTTGTTTGTAGCCTCACACAGCTCCATAGTCTACCATGCTCAAACTGCAGAGTTTTCCATACGGCTGAAGTCCTACACACAGCTAACCCTGCACCCATGATCTTCTGAGCTGCCTATAAGCTAACTGAAAGCAATTAGTGCTAAGGCAGAGCTTCACCTCAGTTAAACCACCTATTCATTTCTTCCCTCAACTCAGTTGAGCATCCACCCCCAAGGGCAAGATAAGCTCTGCTCCTCACCAATTTATGCCCTTGAATTTCCTTGGTGCCAGCTTCTCATAGAACCAGGAACCACTGCCCAAGCCCATGCTACTTCTGCCAAGACCATCTGCCCCAAAAGATGATGCAACTTCGCTGGCAGGCTTCACAAACAGCACATGCAATCACGTTTTCAGCATCACAATCTGCAAATGCTTTTTCCCTGGACTAAAATTTGCTGGGGAGCATCTCCTCCCCATTCCCACCCTCCATAGTGGGTGCCATAAGCTATTGCTGTCTCTTTTATCCCTGGTTCAACCCAGCTTATTAAAACAGAATAAAGGTACCCCAGCTTTTCTTAAGACAAACTCTGTTCTGCTCAAGAGAAGTGGGAAAAGAGAATATGAACAGAAAAAGTCTTATGCAAATTTTAGTTGTGTCAACAGAATCTTTGGGTAAGAGGAATTGTTTCAAATGGGATAACACCTACCCATCCAATCTTAGCAGAAAGCTACTATCTCCGTTAGGTCATTAGTCCTATTTCAGTTTGAAGATGTATTTGTTTCAAGTAACCTAAAATAAGCAAGTAGGCTTATTTGTTAATCAGCAATCTAGGATCATGCTAATGATGAAAAAGCTGTTTTAATGAACACAGTTTAGTCCTTGGGGAACAGCAATTTCTTCAAAATTTGCAAGCTATACTTAGTGATACTGGAGCCCTGGTCTTTAATCTTCAAGCAACACCTAAGAATAGATGCAATTGCTTAATATTAAGATATATGTGTTGAAAATGGAATTGTTTATGTGAGGATGGAAATTGAACAGCATTAATTTGTCCTTGAGAAATCTGTACAACCTCTATTTTCTTCACACAGGCAAGGCACTTGAACAACCACAGTAAACTTTTAAGTAAGCTTTCAAAAGCAGGACGAGTCAAATTCTAGCCTTTTTTAATGCCACCTGTAACAAATCCCAGCTGCTTCCCCACATACTGCACTAATCAGTAGCGCATGCATCACCAAGGGATGCAGTCACTCCTGTAGTAGTCGGGGATTTACTACTTTACAGGACAACTCTACTCAAACCTGCTCCTGGCAATGAAGACAGCAGTGCAGCTTACAGATGCAGCGCAGTGCTGCCTGCTATCTTCAGCAGCAGGCAAAAAATGCAAGTAACATGTAAAACTGGGATGAATATCTTGAATAATTAACTTTATCTCGTAAGACCTAAGCACTTTGTCTAAGGATATACAAAACAGAAATAAGAAAAAAATTAATTTCCAAATGTTGATAATATATGACTGATTCACCATAATCAGCTTCAAAGTTCTACCATCATTTTATCTTCCTCCACTTTGATAAGTACCTCAGAATTCTTCAATACCAGTTTTTTGATTCAACTTTAAGTGAGGGAGGGAATTTCTCCCTTGTTCTGTAATTAGCATCATTCAAACAAATTTGTCTGATTTAAGAGTATCTCAGTGCAGGAAGTGCACACAAATCTTATTATTTTCTCTGCAGATGTAACCATTATAGGCTATAAACATGCATAACAGTTACTACAATATCTATGACGTTAACAGCTAAACGCTTTAACTATAAAAGAAAATATTACATTGAAATCTTGTCAACCATTTAGTTTTACAGGAATTTTTGTGGGGTTTTGTTGTCATTTGGTTTTGATTTAAAGTAATTTGTATTCAAAAACCAGTGTTTATTAAAATTATTATTTTATATTTATTTTATATTTA